ACAATCTTCCTGAAAGATGACATCGGTGACTACATGTTTTAATGGTTTTAATCTATGTTTTTATATTGTTCTGTTGACTGTTTTTAATTGCACTTTTATGAATGCATGGCATCTAATCGTTCCAATCCATAACTCGCCTTGAGTCGCTGTATGGTTGAGAAAGGCGGGCTATAAATGTCGCAAATAAATAAATAAATAAATAAATAAATAAATAAATAAATAAATAAATAAATAAATAAAACTATTTTCCTGCCTATGGAAAGATAGCAAGGTAGGCACTGGTCTCACTGTTCTGTGAAAGGAGTTCCAAAGTTTGGGGGCAACTACCAGTAATATAAATGTGCTACCAATAGCTTTGAAGATAGGAGAAATTGAGAACAGTGAAGTCAGAGGGAAATGAATGTGGCAAGTGCAGGGGTTGGTAATTACCTAATTAACAGTAGACAGCTAGGAGATCCAGCATCTGAATTACAATTTGAGAAGTCTTAATTAGCAGTGGATTTTCTGGATGGTTTGTTGTTGTTAATCACATTCCGTTTACTGGCCAATTCTCCATAATCTTACTGTGCCATCATACATTTCTGACAAAGGTGCATGGTGCAGCTTAGGAAAATGTGATTTTCAGACCACAGTGCCCAGAACTCCTAACACAGACTGTGGATACTTGGAGCTATAGTCTATTTCTATCAACCCTTGCTTTGGTCTATTCTTCCCTAGTGTGGAGAAACCTGATTTTGCTGTATGCCTTCAAATTGTTTGTTTTATTTGTCTGCCCTGGCTTGGCTGCTGCTGAGGGCAGGTTTCCAGCAAAGGACTTTTCTCAGTATTGCAGCAAGCTTGGAGAGGGTTAATCTGACCTCCTCCTTCAAGAAAGCGTCAGAGGCTTCTGGGATTATCTGTGAAGGTTTGCTGAAATGAGCAGCAGCTAGACATCATGATAAAACAGCATGGAAAAGGATAGCTCTATGGCAGCAGATACTGTTGTCCCTTGATTCTCTTGCCTTGTATCTTGGCTCTGCTTCCCCTGGGTTAGAATTCTGGATCCTGACCTTGATCCCGGCCGTCCTGTTCTGGACTCTGCGGTATCCTGCATCCATGACTCTTTAATTTCTGGACTGACTTCCTGGACTTAAATTTTGGTTTGTACCCTTGGACATGTTTTATGATCTCTGATAAGTTAATTCACGACATCTGACTTTTGGACTGTAACCTTGGCTGCTGTTTATTCTTGCCTCTGCTGTGCCTTTGTAGTACTTGGCATGTCCAGTTCATCATTACTCTGGCTGGGTGCTGCAATTCTGTTTTGTTGGTCAGACTGAAGACTTCAGTTTGATATGGTCTTCCCTTCTTTTGTGTTTGTTTGAACAAAGCTCAGTGCTTTATACTCAGTGAGCTCCTACAGAGTCCTCCAACACCCAATACTCCAGAATATGTTGGCATACACTTTCTGTTTGCTGATGGAAGAAAAAGTTTTACCTGACAAATACTGCAGTGTCTAGTCATACCAAGTGCTCGGTACAATCCTGCAAATCTCTTGGGAAGGCAGATGGACAAATGTCAGCATGCTGGAAGAAGCAAAGACCACTAACATTGAAGTGATGCTCATACACCATCAACTACTCTGGACTGGCTATGTTGTCCGAATGCCCGATCACTGTCTCCCAAAGCAGTTACTATACTCCCATCTCAAAAATGGAAAATGTAATGTTGTGGACAGGGAAAGAGATTTAAAGATGGGCTTAAAGCCAACCTTAAAAATTGTGGTATAGACCCCGAGAACTGGGAAGCCCTGGTCCTTGAGTGCTCTAACTGGAGGTCATCTGTGACCAGCAATGCTGCAGAATTCGAAGAGGCACAAATGGAGGATGAAAGGAAGAAACATGCCAAGGGAAAAATGTATCAAGCCAACCCTGACCGGGACCGCCTTCTACCTGGAAACCAATGTCCTCACTGCAGAAGAACATCCGGATTAAGAATAGGTCTCCACAGCCACCTATGGACCCACCCCAAGACACTACACTTGGAGGGCCATCATCCTTGGACTACGAGGGATCGCCTAAGTAAGTAAGTACATCTGTTACACTCAAATATTCATAACAGGACCAATTCTGCCATTCAGATGAACTGTTTTTTAGTCTTCTAAGCAAGCAGTGGACTGCTACTTGTCCAGGACTAATTTTCAATAGCATTGGTCTAAATGATACCACATTGGATCAAAGAGACCTGAATTCCAATTCCTGTTCTGGGCATTCTTACAACAAAGTTGAGATTTTGTTACAAAATATTGTACTTTTCACAATCCTTGCATCATTAACAATTTTTGTAAAAACAGCTTTACTTTTATTTCAAGGAGCAGGGATATGCCTGTGCAAAAAGAATCAACTTAAAATCCATACTTACATTGGGTCATCGCTTTCATAATAATAATTCTTAGTATCTACCAAGCTGAGATGTTTACTTTGAAAAGCTAAGCCCTACTAGTTATTTTGTACCATCTCACTCCCTCCAGAAGTAGTTGGTTGACACAATTACTCACAATTCAGTTTTTGTATTCTCTCCCTTCCTACACAACAGCAAAAGATAAATTTCATATGGTAATTATGTAGTCTGTTTTGCTGGTTTACAGGAGCCACAACAGATACCTAGAGCCTTCCTAATGCCGCGACCCATTAATACAGTTCCTCATGTTGTGGTGCCCCCCCAATCATACACTTATTTTGTTGCTATTTCACAACTGTAGTTTTGCTACTGTTATGGATCGTGATGTAAACATCTGATATGTAGGATGTATTTTCATTCACTGAACCAGATTTGGCACAAATACTCTATACACCCAAATTTGAATACTGGTGGGGTTGGGAGGGATTGATATTGTCATTGGGGAGTTATAGTTGCTGGGATTTATAGTTAACTTACAATCAAAGAGCATTCTGAACTCCACCAACGACGGAATTGAACCAAACTTGGCACAAAAAGTACTGGCAGGGTTTGGTGGGCATTGACCTTGAATTTTGGAGTTGTAGTTCACCTACATCCAAAGAGCACTGTGGACTCAACCAATGATGGATTTTACCAAACTTAGCATGAATACTCAATATGCTCAAATCTGAACAGTAGTGGAGTTTGGGGAAAATAGACATTGAAATTTGGGAGTTGTCGTTGATGAAATTTATAGTTCACCTACAATCAAAGAGCATTCTGAGCCCTACCAATGATAGAATTGGGCCAAACTTCCCACACAGAATCCATGACCAACAGAAAATACTGTATTTTCTGATTGTCTTTGGCGACCTCTCTAACACCCCCTCATGACTCCTCTGGGGGTCCTGACCCCCAGGTTGAGAAACGCTGACCTAGAGTGTTAACAAATGGCAACTCTAGGTTACGAGGCAGAATTCCAGAGGAATGTAGATTTGTAGTTAAGATAGCTAAACTAGCAAATAAAGACATATGGTGTATGGCCCATACTTGTAGAATGAGAAATAGCAGGATGCGAATACAATGCAAATATTGACAGGTGTGATAGCAAACGAACTGAGTGATGATGACTAATAGAAGCTGTTGCCTCGATCCTTATTGGACAAGCAATTATGGATGATAGTGGATTTTCATCTTCCTCTAGATGAGTGGAGGATGATATAATCAAAGGTCATTTGAGCTCCCATAGGAGCAGTACAACTCTCTGAGGCTTTTAGGAGTGGGCTGTACATTTTTGCCATTTTAGGCTGACTAAGCCGTTTTGGGCTGGGTGAGTAATTTGTAACTTCATGTGATTTCCACTTACATCTGCTTTATCAAAAAGGGACCATTACTAATGCGACACTGGAAGGTCTGTATGGCCCTCAGATTTCTGGAAGTTGCCATCCCTTACTCTAGATATTGCAGCTCCCATGATTTATGATCGTTGACCTGGGGTCCTAGAGCTGATAGAATCATAGAATCACAGAGTTGGAAGAGGCCTCGTGGGCCATCCAGTCCAACCCCCTGCCAAGAAGCAGGGAAATCGCATTCAAAGCACCCCTGACAGATGGCCATCCAGTCTGTTTAAAAGTCTCCAAAGGAACCTCCACTACAGTCCAAAGCAGAGAATTCCTCTGCTGAACAGCTCTCATAGTTAGAAAGTTCTTCCTAATGTTCAGGCAGAACCTCCTTTCGTATAGTTTGAAGCCATTGTTCCACGTCCTAGTCTCCAGGGCAGCAGAAAACAAGCTTGCACCCTCCTCCCTATGACTTCCCCTTACATATTTATACATGGCCATCATGTCTCCTCTCGGCCTTCTTTCTGTAGGCTAAACATGCCCAGCTCTTTAAGCCTCTCCTCATATGGCTTGCTCTCCAGACCCTTGATCATTTTTAGTTGCCCTTCTCTGGACACATTCCAGCTTGTCAACATCTCCCTTAAACTGCTGTGCCCAGGATTGAACAGTTTTCCAGGTATGGTCTCACCCAGGCAGAATATAGGGGTAGCATGACTTTCCTGGATCTAGACACTATGCTCCTATTTACGGAGAGCAAAATTCCATTGGCTTTTTAAGCTGCCTCATGGCATTGTTGGCTCATGTTTAACTTGTTTACAAGGACTCCCAAGATCTTTTTCACACATACTATTATCGAGCCAGGCGTCCCCCATTCTGTATCTTTGCATTTCATTTTTTCTGCCTAAGTGGAGTATCTTGCATTTGTCTGTGTTGAACTTCATTTTGTTAGTTTTGGCCCATCTCTCTAAACTGTTAAGATTGTTTTGAATTCTGCTTTTGTCTTCTATGGTATTGGCTATTTTTCCCAATTTTGTGTCATCTGCAAACTTGATGATCATGCCTTCTAACCCTTAAGTCAATGGTTCTCAAACTGTGGGTCCCCAGGTGTTTTGGCTTACACCTAACTGAAATGTTAGCAGGTCCAATGGGTTAGCAATTCTAAACAGACCGCAAAGTGTACTCAGATCTCAAAATCTGTTTCTGAACATGCTGCTGAACTGTCCCATAAGAATAAACATGAAATCTCACACATTAAGATTTAATAATAATAATAATAATAGTCATAGTAATATTCCAAAACAACAAGAGTGTGCATTATATTCAAGGTCTACTACCAGTGCTCTTGGTTGGCCATTTGATCTGTTAAGTGTCAATAGGCTGAAGACAGAGGGTGCAGTGTGGATAAAAATTCCAGCTGTGACACTCTGAGAGGAAGGAAGGCAAGGGAAGAAGACAGGGGTTTGGAGATGGTTCAGAACCGGACAAAAGTGGCATCTATCTGCCGGACGGATGGAAGGGCCAACATGATTTTGCGTCGATACTGGGGATCTTTTTGGAGAGGGTTTCGTTCTAGGTAGACTGTTTCCAAGTTCTTGGCTGCTTTCAGCTCGTCCAAATCACTCCAACTCTCAATGAGGTTGTCGTTCATCTGGAGGACATATAAAATAAAAACAAAATAGTTGGCAATTTAAAAACAGACAATGCAACATGTTCAAGATCAGTTACAGCTCCCAGGAACCTCTGAGATTTCCATCAACTTCAGTTTGATAAAAAGCTCAACAGGGGAAAGGGAACAAAGAGATGAGGCTGTAGACAAACCACTGTGAGAAAAGTATGACAGAAAATAGCTGAGGCGCAGGGAAATAGGAAGTTGGGAAGCAACATGCCAGAGATAAAAGGCCTTGCTACAGAGAAGTTTCAACTCAAAGGCAGTACAAGATTATTTAAAGCAAGTTCAACTTAAATTGAAGAGTGATGTAATGGCAAAGTATGTGAGTTGGTCCCAAAGAAGCAATGTACGCCACACTCGAACCAACAGGTTTGTTGTGTTTATTGATGTTTGTTTGATGTATCTTGGGCTTGGCCTCATGTAAGCCGCACCGAGTCCCTTGGGGAGATGGTAGCGGGGTACAAATAAAGATTATTATTATTATTATTATTATTATTATTATTATTATTATTATTTCAGATTCTGCTTGAACATCATATTAAAGAAGCTTTTCTGATGCTTCCATTTTCTGACCACTTGAGGGCAACTTGAGACAAACTCAATAGGATTGGATACTCTCTTGCACGCAGCAGGCTAGATAAAAAGGCAAGTGTCTAAGCTGCTATTCTGCTGCTCAATAAACACACTCAAACAATCTAACGCAGTGGTTCCCAACCTTTTTTTTTGACTAGGGACCACTTGACTAAGTACCACTTTGACCAGGGACCACTCTTCAACATTAGTACCAAAGGGGTTGCCAATCAGTTTTTGGTCAACTTTAGATTTGGTGTGGTTATTTGGAGTGCTGATTCAGAAAATTGCATAGGATAGACCACATCAGCTCTAGTTTCTCATACAGAACATATGCCATCTTCTCCCCCACAGAAAACCATATTTAATAATCTAGAGCTTATGTGTTCTATCCAATGCATTTTCTGAATCAGCACCCCAAATGGCCCCAGGAGCAGGTCTAAAAATGAGGACACCAAGACTTCCAGGTACCACATGGAACGGCTCTGCTCAGGGGGAGGGGGGAGGAAGCGAAGCAGCAGTCAGGAGGCTTGTTGTCGCACCTTTTGTGGGTAGTCAACCTCTCCCCTCCCAACATCCCTATCACCTCGGCACTATAAGGGCGTTTCACGAGACCAGTCACTCTCATTGCAACGGTGTAGTAAAGGTGACCATATTTTTGTTCTTGGGGACTATTAGTGGTCCATGGACACCAGGTTGAGAACCACTGATCTAACTGATAGTTTCAGACTTACCCAAAATTCCTGGAGTTCTGTTAGGTGGGAGATATTTTCAATCTTTTTGATCCTGTTTGCTGCAATGTCCACCATTGTAAGTTTATTCTAAGAGAGGGAAACAGTTCAAAGACATGTTTTATCAGTTTAATAGCTGAGTTTCCTGTGTGCCATTACATGCATGCTTGTGAACATCACTTTTTCAAAGGGCTGACTTCTAACAAAGTCATACCTTTCCTTGACCAGTGGTTTTCAAAAGGTTGTCTCCAGATGTTCATGGAGATTCACATTTGCCAAATGGATATGAAAGGATTTTCTTTTCAAGAAGATTATGAAAACCATTTTTTTCCAAAAATTTCAGTGGGTTATATCTTTCCATAAATTTATTAAGATTGACCTTAACCAACCCTGTTTATATTTTATTCCCCCCCCCCCCCCCGCAGTTGCAGTTCAACAACACTGGGGAACCATATGTGGATTTATATAACTATTGGAACAAAGATTATAAAATAAATAAATGCAATACACTTTTTCTGTTCAACCTGGTCTCCATTTCTGCCCCCTTCTAGACTTTAAGCCTTCCGGGACAGGAACATGTCCACATATATTTTATTTCAAAAGTTTTTCTTGTGCTATATAAACCTAAAGTTTTTTTTATCATACCCATCAGGATCATTGTGTTACCTGTTTTATTCAAATCACAAGCAAAACCATCCATGTCAAGGTGAGAAAATGTTTCCAGTTCTCTGTAAGGACTGTGCTATAAAGATAATGATAACCAATTAAGGTGAAAATAGCATCTCACATTGTTTTCCAGCCCCTCAATGACTTCTATGCCGTTATGGCTCAGATACAGCTCTCGCAGGTTCACCAAGTTTTGCAGCCCTTCAATCTTGGTCAATCGATTGCTCTAGAGGAGTAACAGAAAACAAATTTATTAAGATTGATTGACCTTAACCAACTGTGTTTTTGGACAGTAGAAGTTAAAAATGACAGAATAAAACTTTAGTAAAACATAAGGACAAATGCATACAAGATTCATGTTTTTGTCATCCCAGAGCCTCACAAATTCACATTAAGACATGTATGTTCTTTGGATCATGTATATTATAGCTCAGATCTGATACTCATGGATCTTGGGGTTGATTGACATGCCTTCAATCTTCCTCTGTACATTAAACAGTCACTTAAATCTCAACAAGTATATTCACTTTTGTGAAAAATTAGTTACAGAGTTTCAACAGTGCACGATACAATATTCTCCTTCCATTAGATACTACTGTGATTCTACTGAAGTAGAAAATGATGCTGTCTAAAATATGGCTTTTTAGACAGGTCTTTGATCATGAATAGATTTTAATGGTTAGACTTGAGGACTTTTTGATTGCTTCACTCAAGCATTTGGGCTGTTAACTGAAGACAGCCAGTTTTATCTAGAGGCACTGCTGTTTTATGAATTTTAAAATTTTTATTATGTGACTTTTATGTGTGTTTCCTGTTCTAAATTTATGTTGCCATTGTTTATATGATTACGTATTGTTTATATTATGTCCGGCACTTGGAGTGCTTTGTGAGCTGCCCTGAGGTCCTTTCAGGGAGATGGTGGCAGGGTATAAATAAAGATGATGTTGATTATTATTATTATTATTATTGTTACTATTCTACACCTGATGAATGAATTGGTTTATTTCACTTACAGACCAGAATAATAACATCAACATCATATTTACAGTGCACCCACACTATGTCTAGAACATGGGATTTACTTGGTACATATGAATAAAACAGTAATGTATAACCAGGAACATTATTCACTAGGATCTTTCACTACTTGTCTCTTTAGCTTTACAGCAACTGTGTCTTTTACAGTGATCTGTGTTTCCCTAACAATCACACCAAGTGGGAATTCGGGGACAACAGGAGCAATAAGCGTACAGCATATCCCCCTGTAAAAATTACAATAAAATATGACCAATACTTTCCATCTCATTTAGACCACTTTATAAAACAGGATGGCATCATTCCCTAGGCTTATTCAAATTAGGAGGGTTTATTTATTTATTTACCATATTTTTGCCCCACCCTTCTCACCCAGAGGGGGACCCAGAGCACTCTTGCACGTAGGCAGCAGGTCATAGATCAGTACTCTGAAGTACAGTTAGTTTCTTTAATTCTGAACCAGAAGCTTAAAATTAACAGAATATTTTGAAGAGCAGTTTGCAATACTGTCATTGCTTGCAAAGATTACATAATGACGAGACAAAAGGCTGAATGATGTTCCTATTGGTATACAAAAAAGAATGTGGAGGTACCTGTATACTGAGTACTGTCAGGTTTGTTAATGCATCAAGGTTCTGCAGCTTGGTGATTTTGTTCTTTCCCAGAAACAGGCTGTCCAGGTTAGTCAAAGCATCAATATTTTGAATTTCCTGTAAAATGACCACAGAAAACATGTCACTAACTTGGACTGAATCCCAGCCTTGTGGAGAGAAAAAGTTGGGTATAAACAAACAAACAACAACAAACCCAAATGGCCTCAGCCACTTCTTTACAATGATTTTGGGCATTACTGAAAGCATTTCTCACTTCTCAGCCCAGTAAGGGCCCTAAGGCAATGTATCATGGGTACTCATCATGTTCATGAAATTATGTCTCATGCTATGTATTATTTATTTACAGCATTTATATTCATAGAATCATAAAGCTGGAAGAGACTTCATGGGCCATCCAGTCCAACCTCCTGCCAAGAAGCAGGAAAATTGCATTCAAAGTGGAATCAAGACAGATCACAGAACACATACACAGCAAACATTCGATGCCGTTAGACATACAGGACAGTCAGATAGCTGGAGGTATGTGTCTGCACTTTTCCAACTTCAGCATCCTGGAGGTTATGCTTGATTCTGTCCACAAGGGGGTGCTGCTGCCACATCCTCTGTGATGATGAGTGTTTTGATCACAGACTTTCCTCCTTATTCTTTGATCGCTGGCTTTTTTAATTTAATTCTATTTTAATTTGGACATTATGTTTTAAATTGGATTTAATTTGCTTTAACTGTAAGCCATTTTTAGTCTCTTTTGAAGAGAGAGAAAGCGAGGTATAAATCATAATCAACATGTAAGCAAGCCACAAAGGACATAATATTTTTCTCCAGAAGTTTTCAATATTTGGGCATTTTACATAAGAATTGATTATGTCCCTCCCCACACTGATTGGAAGAATCATGTGGCAGCCACAATATATATTATGATGCACCTCTGCCTCTAACACGTTTATCCTGATTTTTTCTCAAAAGGAGGAACACTGTATATACTCAAATATAAGCCAACCTGAATGTAAGCTGAGGCATCTAATTTTACCACAAAAAACTGGGAAAACATACTGACTCAAGCATAAGCTGAGGTTGGGAAATGCAGCCGCTACCGGTAAATTTCAAAATAAAAATAGATCCCAATAAAATTACAATAATTGAGGCATCAATAGGTTAAATGTTTTTGAATATTTACATAAAACAGTAATTTAAGATGAGACTGTTCAACTCTGATTAAATAATTATTCTACCTTCTTCAGTGTAAATGGGTTTATGTATCCTTCCAATAATAATAAAGAGAGTAAAATAATAAATGTAATAAAAATAATAATAATAGAGTAAAATAATACATGTAATATTATTATTATTAATAATAATAAATAAGAGTAAAATAATACATGTAATAAAATAATACTTACAGAGTAAAATGATAAATAATTTTGACTCGAGTATAAAACGAGGGGGGCTTTTCAGTCTAAAAAAAGACTGAAATCTTAGTTTATACTCAAGTATATACAGTAATATGCCTTCTGATAAATAAGAGGGATAACTGAAAACTTTATGTCATAAGAATGCATACTCTTCCTAATGCCACACTACAAAAGGAAGTGACACATACCTCCCCCTCCAGGATGCCTATACTTTTAAACCTAGTATTCCTTCCCTTTATGTCTAATCGGACTGGCTGTGCCCAAGAAGGATACTTGCCAACAAATGGAAATAAATACCTACCCTGATTCGATTAGATCCCAGTTCTAACATTTGTAATTGCTGTAAATTGCTTAGGTTTTCGATTTTGCTGATTTTATTGTTGACAAGGAAGAGTTTCTTTAACTGAGTAAGTTGATCGAGCCCTTCGATGTGCCGTAATATGTTAAATGAAATATCCAGGACCCTAAGAGGAAACACACGAAACATGAATAAAAATGATATGAGAGCACACTCACCAAATCCTTCTTTCCCCAGCGATCTTGGGATGCTAGACACATGGCTGTTTTCTATTTTAATGTCATGCTTAGCTGTATGAAGCACAGCAGCCTAAGACAGGTGACCCCAAAATATTCCAGGAAGCTTTATGATGGTTTAATGGGCATTTGACCCTGGCTTTCAGTGATCTACTAATCCATCCATTATCTCTCAGTACACATACAATAGTGCAAAGGAGGGAAATATCTGGCCCTCCTAATGCTTTGGACCACCAACACCTAGAAATCCTTTTCATTAATAACATTGATAATAATATTATAAGTTCATATTGATAATATTATAATGTAATACAATATAATACTAATAATAATACAATATAATAATCGTATATTATATATTACATGTAATATTACTAATAATATTGCAGTATAGTGGTATAGTACAATATAGTAATATATAATACTAATATTGTGCTATGCTAATAATATAATATATGGTATGTACATATAATATTGACAATAATATTATAATGTAAAAAAATATAATACTACTAATAATAATGCAATATAATTATATAATTATAATATATTTTATATATTACATGTAATATTACTAATAATGTTGCATTATAATGGTATAATACAATATAGTAATATATAATACGAATATTGTGCTATGCCAATAATATAATATATTGTATGTACATATAATATTGATCATAATATTATAATGTAATACCATATAAAATTAATAACAATACAATATAATTATTAGATATTACATATAATATGTAATATTACTAATAATATTGCATTATAATGGTATAGTACAATACAATAATATATAATACTAATATTGTGCTATGCTAATAATATAATATATTGTATATACATAAAACTTGTTAGCCACTCTGAGTCCCCTTGGGATGAGAGAGGGCGGAGTATAAAAATAGTAAATAAATAAATACATTTTCACTGGTCATGCTGTCCAGTGAAAATTTATTTGGACAACAAAATAAATTTGGACTATTTGGAAGACAAAAGTCCTCCAGTTTTAATGCCTATGAATTCAGGAGCAGGTTCTGTTGAAGTCAGTAGGACTGAATTTCAAAAAACCACAGTAATTATCAGTTAATGTCCTAGGCAGGTAGGCTGGGGAGGAAGAAGAGAATTATAAGGTTGCCTATATCCCAAATGAATATGATCCTCAACATAAAAAAAGATTTCCTGTCCCTGATCCACAGTATTGATTTCCTATGCAGATAGATACACATAGAACAAGTACATTAAAATGCCTTAAGTGAATGCTGCATATGTTGCCACTGTCAGCTCAAATAGCTTGTTTGCTTTCTGTCCAGATACTCACTCCAGACCTGTCAGAGCATCCAAGTTCTCAATCGTTCGAATCTGATTGTCATAGAGATCCAGCTCTTTGAGACTTTGTAACTGTTCCAGATTCTCAATGCACTTAATCAAGTTCTGACGGAGACAAAGAGTCTAATGGGTGGGGAAAAAAAGATAAACAAAATGAGAAAGCAATGACGTGGAAGGTACATACCATTCTGTGGAGACAATCCCTTTCTCTGTCTCCAAATGTTTCCTCTATTTTTCCTCCCTTGATTCCCACCTATCTCCCTGCTACCACTATGTAACTTTATATAGTAGCCAAAATTCTGCATCTCCACCAGAAAGAACCACTGGTAACAATGTTGGAGATAACCAAACTGAGCAGTTCCAGGGCCATGAGAGAGTACAAAATGGCATTTACAGCACACTTTTGCATTGCCCAACTGAGAAAACAGAGGACAAATTAAAAGTGAAATGGAAAACCACATCTCTTGGCTTTCTTTTTCAGCTGTGTGGGCAATAGTGCTGCGGGAAAGAGGTATTTATTGCTCTTGAGGAGAATCCCACTGCAATTGTTATTAGGCCTGCTTGCAAAAGATGACAAGCCCTGCATTGCTTCCATTTATTTATTTTTCCAGCAAAGCTGCCAGTAGATTTGCCAGTATCATTACTTTCAACAGGGAAATGTGATCCTGGATGGGAAGAAGATTAAACACCTCCATAGCCACCCTACTTTTTTGAACTAATTCATCTCCATGTCTGTTTTTAAGTTGTAGTTGTGTTTTTTTTAAAAAAGATACCAGAATCATGTGTTTCCAAGACTGCATATAGTTTGGTTTTCAGAGGAATATAGTCATCCCTCTGCAGCTGGTGGGGACAAGAGAGAGGGTCTTCTTGGTGGCGGCCCCTCGACTCTGGCACTCTTTCCCCAGGGAGCTCAGGCTAGCACCCTCCCTTTCCACGTTTCGTAAGGAACTAAAGACATGGATTTTCCATTGTGCATTTGATTGACAATTCCTTTGGCAGATGGCCCTAAACATGGCCTATAATTAAGTCCCTGTATTTTACTACTGCACTCTTCAAGCTATAATGACCCTGTTATAACTGCTCTATCACTACGCTGCTATATGATCTATGCACCTTATTGACCAGCCTATTTTCTAACTTGTTTGCATACCAGCCCCCCACTCCCATAATGAAACTTGATGTATATTTCTGGTTAAAATAAAAATGAAGTAGTTATTATTGTTGTTGTGGTTCTCAACCCAACTCCCTGAAATCCTAACAGCTGGTAAACTGGCTAGGATTTCTGGGAGTTGTAGGCCAAAACACTTGGAGAACCACAGGTTGAAAACCACTGATCTACGGGAAGTTACCACAGAGCAGTGATGCACAGCCTGTGGTCTTCCAGGTATTTGGGCCTCCAACTCCCAGAAGCCCTAGCCAGCTTATCCAATGGTCATGAATTCTGGGAGCTGACGTCCAAGTCACCTGGAGGGCCACAGGTTGTGCAGGCTTGTCACAGAGTCACGCTGGATGATTTAGTGATTTTTAGAGAGGTTTTCTCTCAGGTAAAAAAAAAATCATGGTTTTCCCACTTTCATGGGGGTCCCTAACCAAGCCTTGGGCAAATTCCTGTCAACCGTTAGGAATTGTGGGAGTTGAAGTCCAAAACACCTGGAAGGCCAAAGTTTGCCCATGCCAGCACTAACCCCATTGCTGAACATATATCATATTATCCCTCTCGACATCCTCAGCTGCACTCTCTCTTCCCCTCACGTGTCCCTCCACCTCTTACACGGCTCCAGAACTGAACAAACTGCACGATTATGCTACGTTCCTCTTATAGAACAGAACAAGGGCTACTGGGTACAGACATGTTTATGCAAAAATTGTGTAGTTGTCCTGGCTCAATGAGACAGTACTCTTTAAGAGACTCGCTCACCTTCACTTTCTTCAGCACTTCGAACCCCTCAATCTTGCCAATTCGGAAATGATTCAGATCAACATCCTGAAAGACAGACAAGCTATAAGTTGCTTTCGCCATTTTGCAGGGGGTGATTTCAGTATTTCAGCCAAATAAATGAAAAGAGCTCTTCTAAAACAGACTTTATAGCGAATGTATGCAAAAGAGCTCATATTTGTGGACATAGCCAGTTTAGATCAAAGCAAATCTGTACTTCTACCCAATTTGCTACACAGCGCCCACGTTCCTCAGCTATAGGATCACTTCTTTAAGGCATCCTCTCTTTTTTTGCTTCTCTTATTTGAGCATTACACATAAACAATCTGCCTTTCTTCCTGCTCTCAGTTTTGAAAATGCCACACATATGCTGATGTTATTTCATGTACATTAGTCAGCCATTTTAGAAAACTATGGCAAGTATCCACAATAAAATGTTTTAAAGCACATTGGGCACTGCTTTATGCAAGGAAAAGGGGTGATCTGGTGACACTGCAAGGGCAAGCCTACCAACCGTGAACATAACTAGCTTCTACAACAAACAGACAACCCTTTGCAAAAGTTTGAATATTTGATCATGCTTGAATCATAGAATTATMGAGTTGGAAGAGACCTCATGGGCCATCCAGTCCAATCCCCTGCCAAGAAGCAGGAAAGCCGCATTCAAAGCACCCCCGACAGATGGGCATCCAGCCTCTGCTTAAAAGCCTCAAAAAAAAAAAAAAAGAAAAAAAAAAGGGGTCTCCACCACACTCCCGGGCAGGTTGTGTGTGTTGCTTTTCAGTTTCCAGAAGTGAGATATACACATAGAGAGAGTAGGCAATATAAGTCCTTTAGGTGAGGGTTTTTTTTAATTATTATCATGAATTGGTGAGTTTTCTGGAGGATTCAGATGAGTCTACTGGCAAACTCTCATTTTCTGCAACTTTTTCTCTTTTTTTTTTAATAGGTAGGAAATCCATTAAGCTGATGGAGTAGCTGTAGAGTGCCTTTTATCTCCTTGCCATCTGGAAATTTACGTTTAGGTTCATTTGCAGACAGACTCTTCAAGTGGAGCTGCTTGACTTGCAAACGAATGAGAGTTTCATTCCATAACATTGGATTATAAACATTTTGACAGTGCAGATCTTCTAAGAGGAAAGGAGGAAAGATACCCTTATGCCCTTCAGAATCAATGATAAACAAAATCTATTTTCTACCTTTGGAATGCTCTACTCTATTGTTACACGCCAGCTTATTTCATCCAAAATATTCTCTACATTCAACTTACAGTGAAGCTAAGTTTTTCTTAAGGGGAAAATTTGGACGTTCTGCAACACAGGATACAATGCTAAGTGACTCAAGGTCAAGTGATTTTTACCTAGAGCTGTGTGTTCTTCCCAAATACTGATACAATATGAAAAAGGGACCTATATTACCTCTGGGTTGCTGTGAGTTTTCTGGGATGTCTGGCCAAGTTCCAGAAGCATTCTTACCTGACATTTTGCCCACGTCGGGAAAGAATGCTTCTGGAACATGGCCATATAGCCCGGAAACTCACAGCAACTCAATAATTCCAGCCATGAAATCCTTCAACAACACAGAGAATGCTTCTGGAACATGGCCATACAGCACAGAAAACTCACAGCAATCCAGCGATTCTGGCCATGAAAGCCTTTGACAACACATTACCTCTGCTTCTGGATCCAGGTTAATCGTCTCCATGTCCACTGGTGTCTCTGTGTCCACTGCAACAGAGGAAATGCACTATGTGTAAATCTATGCGGCCCATCACTTGAAAGCACATTTGCAAAGTCAGCATTCCCACAAAAGAAAGCATGCTTTAAGGAGACCGGGGAACATCTAATGTGTTCAGACAGCAGCTGTACAAAGTTCACCCTAGTCTTTTTAAGGCTGGCTTAGAAAACAAAATAATGGTCATTCATCTAGTTAGAAATGGCTATAGCTTATAACACAAGCAAGTAACACCAAAACACCCTTGGAAAATATGCACATGGTCTTTCATTGCTTAAAGTAGGCCAATCATGACAAACACTTTGGTTTGTGAACAGTTAGCAGAAACTTCAGGTTCTTTGTGCATTTCTCAGGTTTCCACAGTGAAAACACTGCTTATTCCGTTGGGATAATATGGCTCACCAATTAACAAATCCATACTGTACTTTACCTACACTCCTATTCACTGAAAAACAGGCTACATACACACGCAAGCCATCTTGCTATCACATTTTTATTAGACTGCATTATGCCTTGCACTGAATGAGCTAAGTGGTGCCAGCAATCTGGAAAAAAAATACTGCTTTGAAGTTAGAACATGGATTATTCCTGCCAGAGTGTGAGTGGAGGTGGACCTCAGAGATTTGTGTTGAATAATTCAAGCTTGCTCTCCATTTGAAAGGTGGGTAGATTCTTTCTCTCATGTATTACTGAGCATGGAAACAGCACTCAGGATTTGCACTGAAGAATTCATTATCTTTCTCTTTTGACTAGGATGCCTGCTTTCCTAAATGATGCAACACTGACGTGCTAAATCCCATCTCTCTCCCTCAGTATTCCTTGCCCTTCAGATTGTTTGGCTTCACTCTGAATCCTCAACTACAGGATGCATCTACAAAATCAGATTGGCTCGCATTGCTCCTTTTTGCCGCTTGCTTCTTCCCCGTTCTGCTGTTCACTACACATGCATCTCATATGTTTCTTGGGACAGAGAGCTGTCTTTCTAGCTTTGGAAGCTCTGCAAAGTATTATGGGTACTCCTTACAGTTGAAAAGGGAGCAAAAGGATTATATAATAATGGTTCAACAGATAAGAATTCTGTAATAATGGCCTGAGTTGATGAAGCTGGCTTTTCTTATACTGAAGAACTTTGTCAGTAAGATGAGACACATATTGTTGGCAATCAAACAAAGGCTGGATCTACACTGCCCTATATCCCAGGATCCAATCCCAGATTATCTGATGATCCCAGATTATCTGACAGTGTAGACCCCTATAATCCAGTGCAAAGCTGATAATCTGGGATCAGATCCTGGGATATTTTGCCTGGTGGAAAAAAGTATCTGGAACATTGCTTTCTTATACGAAATGCAACTAGATTAGATGTACTTTTTGAACCTCTTCCATGCATATTTCCTCTCCCTTCTTCTGATACAGCTATGTGGGACATCTACTTTTGAGGCCAGAAGGAAGAAGGGGAGTGGACAGCATGGGCTCAAGGCTCATCTTCCCCACTAAGTGGTCCAGAAATGCCTGACATCATGCACTCTTATGCCCGTTCAACTTAAATGCTAAGAAACCAAAGACATCTCACATTAAGGAAAGGGGTCAGGTAGCACAATAATGGCTATGCTTGATCACTCTTCAATCAGTTTTTTTTTTCGTGTCAGGAGTGACTTGAGAAACTGCAAGTTGTTTCTGGTTTGAGAGAACTGGCTGCCTGCAAGGATGTTGCTCAGGAGACGCCCGGATGTTTGACGTTTTACCATCCTTGTTGGAGGCTTCTGTCATGTTCCCGCATGGGAGGCTGGAGCTGACAGAGGAAGTTCGTCCGCTCTCTCCCCGGATTCAAACCTCTGACCTGTCGGTCTTCAGTTCTGCCAGCACAAGGGTTTAACCCATTGTGCCACTGGGGGCTCCTAACCACAGAGTGCCATGAACCAATGCAGAAATCAGCACAAGCTAGTCAAGAAACTTTCATGAAAAACAACTAAACGAAAAGAGGAAAGAAGGCATACTTTTTAAAGTTTTGGGGCCAAGAAATAAAGAATACCCAAACTTGGTATGTTATGAGATTACCTCACAGTCTTTTAGTTCATATTCCCATATGCTTTTTCAGCCTTTATTTGGCACAGCGATTCAGAAATACCCTGGAAGGCATTCTCTCATCTCACTGCCTTTGAAGGAAAAGAGTGTGGTGATCAGAGACTGTGCCTTGCCTCTTGTGGCACCTCTTTTTGGAATCTGTTCCTCAAAGAAGCCCTTATAGTACCGTCATCATTATCCTTCAGGTATCCCTGGAACACTTATTTTTAATTGGCTTATTTTGCTTTGCTGTCATTTGCACTCAAGTTATTTCCGACTTATGGTGGCCTTATGGTAAGCCTATCATGGAGTTTTCTTGGATCTCTGAGTCCTGTTATTTTGTATTCATGCTAGATTACTAAAAGTCATTTTGAACATTATTATTGCTATTAATATTATTAATATTATTATAATTAGGAAAGCAGGCTGAACAGGAATGAAATAATTCCACTATTGATTCAGCTTTATTTCTGGCTGGTTTTAAAGGGTGGGATGCAAATAAATCCCAATTTTGGAATGATTTTGTAGTAGTGTGGGCAATTTTCTAATAACACGCACACAAGGAGATAAGGGATGACCAAAGGCCAAAGGAATTAAAGTGGGGCAAACTGGGAAGGAACAGATAGGCTAGTATTTAACACCATTCTGATTCAGAAGGGTGGTAGGTTTTGAATTTTATGTTCAAAACTTCCACATGTTTTCCTACTATCAGACAACCTAATGATAATATATTATATTTATATATAAAGGCAATGGACCAAGTAAATGATATTTCTCATCACAACAATTTTCAGTCAACTAAACTATCAATCTACAGATATCTAATCAAAACAAAATCTTTTTTTTTTTTTTGCACTGGGTTGGTAATAGGCTGGCATACCAACTCCAGGCTGTAGATGAGACTTGCTGTGAAAAGGTCACCATTCAATTAATACTGCAAATGTACACAAAGCGGACACCTGCCCACTTTGCTAATTTGACTGTAAGATACATTCACAATTAATCTGGTGGGAAGTTAGCAGACAATTTTGGTATTGTTCCTCCTGTGAGCTCTGCAGGTAGAGGCATTCAGGCAAAACGCAAAGAGGGAGTCTAAATTATTAGGAGGCTAATGGAGAAGATGAAGGATATGGTGCAAATCTTCATCTCAGCAATTTTTTGAGCCGGGGGGGGGGGGGGGGCAACCCAGCTGCTGCACTGAACCTACAGCAAGATTATAAACCTTTAAGCCAGGATAAGGAAACCAACAACAATAGAGGCATTGATAATTGATTTAACACAATTCTCTGCATAATCGTAGGATATCTTGTCATTAAAAACACATTAGGAAAGCTTGTTTCAGCTGCCTCAATTGCTGCTGTCTCATCCATCTCTTGTCCCAGCAATTTGTTCATGAAGCTCCTACGAAAATCAGAGCCAGACAGTCTGCTCCCATTACGTCCCAACTAAGCTCGCCTGCTCCCATTTTAGAGAATGATCATGCTGTTCAAAAGAGCCCTCGTTGAAGAGATTGTTTCAGGATGGTAAACAAGTTGACAAGGAAATGTCAATTTTCTACACGTGCTTCTTCTGGATAAGCCTAAGGAGTTATACAACTTCACATAAGGAGTTATGCAATTTGGAAGCCAAGACTGAATTACAGACCTTTGTAATCCTTGTGTGGAATCTAATCTAATAAACCAATTTTGTGTCTTCATGACAGAACAAAACACCACTATCACTAAACCATTCCAAATATTTAACTGGAGGGTGGAGCCCCCGGTGAAGCAATGGGTTAAACCCTTGTGCTAGTAGGACTGCTGGCTGAAAAATTGGTGGTTCGAATCCGGGGAGTGGGGTGAGCTCCCGTCTGCCAGCTCCAGCTTCTCATGTGGGGACATGAGAGAAGCCTCCCACAGGATGGTAAAACATCCAAGCATCACCTGGGCGATGTCCTTGCAGACGGCCAATTCTCTCACACCAGAAGCAACTTGACATGAAAAACAAAACAAAACAAAAACTGGAGGGTGTATCAGTCACACAAGTCTTCACACATATTTTTAAGACTCTCACTGTCCCCCTTTCACTGCTATCATATAACAAAATCAGCTGAAAAATAACTAAGGAGCAAGAGATCTTCCTTACGCCATATGTTGGAAATGACATTTACTTAGCTTGGCATTTCAACCAAAGCTTCTGTTGGAAAGCCTGGTTTTTGCTGATCTTGTTGCTGTGTGCTTTCAAGCTCTTTCTGATGTACGGCGACAAGATTTGTTTAGAAAGGGATTGCCACTGCTTTCCACTGAGGCTGGGAGTGTTTTTTGCCCTAACGTAACCCAGTGGATTTCCATGGCCAAGGAGGGATTTGAACCCCTGACTTCAGAGTTGTAGTCTAGTACACAAATCACTGTGCCACATTAGCTTTCTTAAAATTGTGCAGTTACTGTACTTACAAGTCTCACAGCCATCTCAAACAATTTCCCTCAACAGCAAGGAAAACTAGGAGTTTCAGTAGAACATTATCTGAAACACTACACAGTTCTTATCCCTGATCACATCACACCAATTTGTTTGGGTCTGGAACAAAAATGTTTTATTTGAAACAGTGAATTATAATAACCGACAGTGATTGTGGTTTCATTTAAGTGTGCATAATACATATGGAATATGTAACCCACATAGATCACATATCCCCAACAAATGCTTATGCTTTGGATTCAGGAATGTTGTGTGTTTCATTTTATTGCTTCCTTTTGTTCTTCCATGAATTGACAGACCACCCAAATGTACTTCAGAAGCTGTTCTTTGCAGGGATTTAGTCCACCCTAATTCTGGATGGCAGATGACTGTAACAAACTGCCAGTCTAATTTTGTCTGACATATACAGCAATAAACACGACATAAAAGTCCTCCTAATGGTCCACTTTCGGACTTCTCAGCTAAAACAGAGTACTGGTAGAAAGCTATATATCATTTTGAGGGCAAATATACAAGGGGTAAATAGATACCTGCCCTATAGCAGATGCTGAAACTGAATCAAAATAAAACAGATTTGATAAATAAAATAACCAAGAGAAATTAGATTTTGAATACTATGTGCCAGTGTCCATTTGACCAGTTCACTTTATGCAACCTTCACAAGTTCTTCCTCTTTTAAGTGTGGGGATGTTCACAAAGCTCATCAGTGGTTCATCCACATTTGGTATGCAAAGCTCAACGTAACAGATTCAATTAATTTGAACTATATTGGATATGGTTAATCAGAACCATGTCATCCATCATGAAAATACTACAGTGGGCTCTCTGGATCTACAGATCTGTGAATTCAACTAAGCGTGAATTATCACTTCCCATATTACCAGATGGCAGCAAAAGTATGCATGTTTATGTTGTTGCCATTTAATGATATGGGAAGCGATTATCCTGTAGATCCGAAGGGCCCACTGTACTCTGACACCATAGTTATAAAAAATGAAAGTGTTAATAACATAGAATAGAACAAAAGCAGCACTTGCTTATCTCCCAAATGCTTGCACAATTACCACAAATATTTCTTTTCAACTCATGCCTTAATGAAAACAATAAGGTGGCAACAGTCATGACTGTGAGGAAGGAGAAATGAAGATCAGAGATGTTACTTTTTTACATTCAAACCCTCTGTGTGCATTTATTCTTCAGATAAACAAATGGGGGGAATCTCTTTTCTCCACTAACTCTAATTTGCTCAAGGTGGGTTTGTGGACAGACCACCCCTGCATTCAGAGTTGATGACACTACATAATTAGGACTCCCCCACTAACATCTTTGAGTAAGCCACTGAGTCTCCTATGGAGAGAAAAAGCGGGGTATAAATAAACATAATAAACATAATAATAATACATCTTCTTCCTGGTCCTCAGGCAGATCAGTCTCTAGAACAGTACTTCTCAACCTGTGGGTCCCCAGATGTTTTAGCCTTCAGCTCCCAGAAATCCTAACAGCTGGTAAATTGGCATGGATTTCTGGGAGTTGTAGACCAAAACACCTGGGGACCCCCAGGTTGAGAACCACTGCCCTAGAAGGATGTTCTATCCTAAATATCTCAGTGTCACCTTAGATCGAACACCAACAGTTAGGAAACACTGCATGAACATCAAGCACAAAGTAGCTGCATGCAATAACATCCTGCAGAAACTTACTGGCAGCACATGGGGTGCAGACCCAAAATTAATAAGAACATCAGCCCTGGCCTTGTCTTACTCAAGCACTGAGTATGCCTGCCCTATTTTGCATAAGTCTGTTCTGTTCACGCGAAGCAGGTGAATATAGCATCAATTAAACATGCAGAGTAATCACAGGATGTCTCAAACCTACACCTGTTGATAGACTCTACAAGCTAGCTGGCATTGCCCCCCCCCCCTCCGCCCATTGGATGTGCGACGGGAAGTTGCTGCTAACTGTGAGAGAAATAAGGTTGAAGACTGTGAAAGTCATCCACTGCATGGCTACCAGCCTCCTCCCAGAAGACTCAAATCAAGGAAAAGCTTCACGAGAAACACCACTCCTCTTCATGATCCTCTGGCAACAGCAAGAATATCCCTCTGGGCAGCTAAACCAGGAAATCCCAATTGGATGGCCCCCCATAAGGGTCTGCCTCCAGGGGCAAAACAAGAATGGTCTACTTGGAAGTCCCTGAACAGACTCAGAAGTGGAGCGGGCAGATCAAAAGACAACCTGGCAAAATGGAACTACCTAAAAGAATTTTCCACCTTGTTTGACTATGGAGCAGAAAAAACAACTCTGCACTTGTATGCTTGTCCACAATGCCCTGTCTCATGTACAGAAGAAGAATTTTTTTAAAGCAACGGACAATATGGTTGCTGTTGCTCAGTTCTGGTCAAAAATTGTTTAGCCACTTGTGCTCCTTCTATTTTTTATCAGTTTTGTGAATGCAATGCTTTTGACTCAAAATAAATAAAAATCTCACCCTAAAATGTTATGATGACTGAGCATAAGAAAAGGTATTTCTTTCACATTGTCCATAAACATTTTCTGTTTTTACTGCAATAATATATGTATTTTATGTCAAATCAAAATACTCTTTTAAAATATACAGCCTTTTCTTGCTGTTCACAGAAAAACATGCCCAAACACGGTTCTTTACTTGTAAGAGAGATCTGATCAAACATGTGTCCCTTCAATCTTCAGAAAAAAATTTTTTTTGAAATTGTCATCTTGATTTTAGATCCATAGTTCTTCTATGTTTAGCTCTCTTCCAACTATGTTTATTCTTTGCTAGGTAAAGAACTATATGCTGCCAGCTCATGTTATGTGGAGGCTACTGCAGGTATTATATAAGATTAAGAGAGGAAAGAAGAACACCCACCAAAGCAACAACAAAACCTCCACAACCGGGCTAACACAAGCTGCTATGTTTAATTTAATGTTCACAGTCCCTGCGAAAAATGACTAACTAATCTGCCATATACAACTATAGCTATGCAATCAATTCACCAAATAAATTCAAAAGATGCAAAATATTTAATAGCATGGGAGGTAAAAAACATAATATAATCACTTCCCAAAAGGAACATCTTTAGTTGTCTCTTAACACTTTGGGGAGATGAGATTTTGAAAAGTCTTAAGCAGCACCACTGTCACATTAAACACAGCAGACCATTTCTCTATTTGAACAAGAGTTTACCTGTCGAATTTTCACCATTCTGCTCGTCTCTTAAGCTCTGTTGACTGAGGTCTGATACTAGGCAAACCCCTTTTTTCTTTCCTTCATCATCTCCTGACTCTTCAGACTCGATCCTCCTGTCCACTAAAAGGTAAACGTCATCATTAAATTTATTTCGGGGGGGAAAAACACTTCGAACCAACAAAATGAGAGCATGGGTGAAATAAGATCCTATATATGCTTCTTGAGAAGGAAGCCTTAGTAAGTATAACAGTTTACTTCCTGGGAAGTATATAAAGAATATTGCCTTGGGGACAAGCTCAAAAGAGTAAGGTTGCTAATTGGGAAGCTAAACATACCTACATGCCCAAATTGAATATTAGTCTGCACATTATCTGAAGGCCAAATTGACAACTAAGTCATGTCTTGCAAACATTTCACATGGCAGTAATTGAATTAATGGGGAGGTCATGGAGCTCATATGATCTGTCTGTTGCATACTGGCTTAATAAATAAAGATGTAACTTAGTCTTGAATCCCTTTAAGCGGCCAATTTGTACTTTCTTGACTTGTGTAAGTGTATAAGCTGTAGTACCAGTCTCTGGCCTCTTGCATTCAAAGTCATAGGATTCATTCATTTCTTATGGTCTATCATTCTGCAGTACTAAAAACACAGTTGTCACATTCAAATATGTAAGTGCCGAAAATGAATTTATTACATACATGACAGCAAACACTTTTGCAGACATATTACATGCAGCCAAACAGCAGTTCTGTTAAATGGTCTCATATATACTGTATTCACAATCTACTATGTGCTAAAGTATATATTTACACAGATAAAAAATATCTCATCATGGACTACACCAAATGTAAATGTTCTTTTTGTATACATTTATTTATTTACCGTATTTTTATCCCGCCTTACTCCCCACAGAGACTCAAGGCAGTGAGCAATGACATGACAGAATACAAAATCCATATACATGTGAATATAAATATATACTTTTGGCTCCTCCATATGCATGGATTCAATCATCCATGACTTGAAAATACCTTGTTCCAAAAATTCAGATAGCAAATCCTGTTTTTTTCATTTTATATGACACTAATGATTTTACTGTGCCAATGTTTATAATGATATATAACTTGAGCATCCACAGATTCTGGGTCCCATGAGAGATCCTTGAATAAAATGCTAGCAGATACCAAGGGCCCACTATACAGTGAAGATGCCATTCTTTGACAAAGGACAGAAGAGAAATGTAGTAAATAAAAGCATAATGATCAAGAACAAATTTCTCCAAACTCATTGAGTTTGGAGAAAAGAATATATAACCAAGTATTTGGGTTTTAGTCTCTATACTGCCCTGTAACAAAGTATCCCACTTGTTATTTTTCAAGGTAAATCTCAGCAGGCAAAGGCTGAAGTTAGGGCTAGCCCAGGCATGGGCAAACTTAGGCCCTCCGGGTGTTTTGGACTTCAACTCCCACAATTCCTAACAGTCGGATGTTAGGAAATGTGGGATTTGAAGTTCAAAACTCCGGGAGGGCTGAAGTTTTCCCATGCCTGGTAGAGGGTTCAATTTGGGAAGCAACTCATGGGAAATAAAGAAGAATCAGCAAAGGACTATAAAAGATGGGTAGGAGTTGCCTTGGCTATGAGTCAGTAGCTGCTAAAGTTGACATTCTAGGAGGCAGTGAATTGTGTGACTTCGGGTGAAGCTTCAAATGCAGCTTCTTCCTAAAAATCTTCCCCAGGTGCACCTACACTGGAGAATTAATGCAGTCTGGCCGCTCTTTAGCAGCCTCATCTCAATGCTATGGAATCATGCGATTTGTAGTTTTATGCAGTCATTAATTTTTTTAACTCGCATCTTGTGTTCGCTATATTTTAATCTTTGTTCTGTGTATTTTAAGATATGCATTTCTTTTTTTTTTTTGTCGTGTCAGGAGCATCCTGTTGTGAGAGAATTGGCCGTCTGCAAGGACGTTGCCCAGGGGACGCCCGGATGATTTTTGATGTTTTATCATCCTTGTGGGAGGCTTCTCTCATGTCCCCGCATGAGGAGCTGGAGCTGATAGAGGGAGCTCATCCACCTGTCCCAGGATTCGAACCTGCGACCTGTCGGTCTTCAGTCCTGCTGGCACAGGGCTTTAACCCACTGCGCCACCGGGGGCTCCTATGTATTTCATTGAACTATGTTTCAATATATGTATTTTACGTAATGGTTGTGTGTTCTTATCTGTGCTGTAACCTGCCATTACAGCAGGTAAGAAATAACAACAACAACAATTACAACAACAACAACAAGTATTCTAGTTTGGGAAAGCACCAACACTCCTTCACAGAGAAGGATAATAATAATAATAATAATAATAATTATTATTATTATTATTATTATTAGCCATTATCAAGACCTCAAAATCAAACTGCAAAGGCTCTGGCATAAACCAGTACAGGTGGTCCCAGTGGTTATCGGCACACAGGGTGCTGTGCCAAAAGATCTCAGCTGGCATTTGGAAATAATAAACATTGACAAATTCACAATCTGTCAACTGCAAAAGACCACTTTACTTAAATCTGCACGCAACATTCGAAAATACATCACACAGTCCTAGACGCTTGGGAAGTGTTCAACTTGTGATTTTGTGATACAAAATCCAGCATATATATCTCGTTTGCTGTGACATACTGTTTTTGTGTCAGTAAAATAATAATAATAATAATAATAATAATAATGTTTATTATTCATAATAACGGTGGTCCCAGTGGTGATTGACAAACTGGGTGCAGTGCCTAAAGACCTTGACCAGCACTTAAAAACAATTGGCGCTGACAAAATCACCATCTGCCAACTAAAAGGTCACCCAACTCAGATCTGCATGCATTATTTGCCGATACATCACATAGTCCAAGACACTTGGGAAGTGTCCAAGGTGTGATCCAATACAAAAGCCAGCATAGTGATCTTGTTTGCTGTGTACTAATCTTGTTGTCTATCAAATAGTAATAAGTTTTATTTATATCCCACCTCCTCTCCCGGAAGGAACTCAAGACAGTTTAAACAGTTTAACAGTAACAGTTAAAACAAAACATAGGTCAAGTTAACATAACTTAAAGTAGAACAATTGCAATTACTGAAAATATAAAAAACACAACATATCATCATCATCCTAGTAATCCTTCTTTGCAAAAGAGTGCTGGGGGCCCTTCCACACAGCCCTATATCCCTGAATATCAAGGCAGAAAATCTCACAATATCTGCTTTGAACTAGGTTATCCGAGTCCACACTCAGATAATGTGGGATTTCCTGCCTTGATATTCTGGGGTATAGGGCTGTGTGGAAGGGTCCTGGAAATCCTAGGATTCTATAGCATTGAGCCAGGAGAGTTGAAGTGGTCTCAAACTGCATTAATTCTGCAGTGGGGATGTGCCCGAAATGCAGAAACAGCAACAGCAGAAGAAACAACAATGCAAGGAGAACTACTGTGTTTCTCTTGAAGCAGAGAAGGATGAATTAAGACCTTGCAAAACTCCGGCTCCCAGGATGTCATAGCATTGGGTCACTGACAGTTGAAGTGATGCCAAAACGCATCGATTCTACAGTGTAGACCAGGTATGGGCAAACTGGGGCCCTCCAGGTGTTTTGGACTCCAACTCCCACCATTCCTAACAGCCTCAGGCCCCTTCCTTTTCCCCCTCAGCCGCTTAAGCGGCTGAGGGGGAAAAGGAATGGGTCTGAGGCTGTTAGGAATGGTGGGAGTTGGAGTCCAAAACACCTGGAGGGCCCCAGTTTGCTCATGCATGATGTAGAGATGATAGCAGGCGATGAAAGGAGCTGCCCCATCACAACAATGCAGAATTAAAGCGGGTTAATCCCGCTAGAACGGCCACAGCTCAATGCTATGTGATGCTGGGAGTTGTAGTTTAGTGAGGCACTGGCCCTCTTTGGCAGAGAAGCCTAAAGGTCTTACTAAACTCCTATGATCCCACAGCATTGAGTCATTGTGGTTAAAGCGCATTAATTCCACAGTACAGATGCACCCTCGCTCCCATCTGAGGCCTCTTCCACACAGCTGTACAAAATCCACATTTAACTGTATTATCTGGCAGTGTGGACTCAGATAACCCAGTTCAAAGCAGATAATGTTGATATTCTGGCTGTGTAGAAGGGCCCTGGGTCTCCACTGCCTGATAATCTGGAATAAGAAGACAATCTGGGATGAGATCCTGGGACAGAGGCAGCATGCACTCACCCTCCATCATCTCCTGCGCGCCCTCAGACTCAGCCGCCGCCATAACGTTTGGCAGTCCCTCCTCCTCCTCCTTCCGGCATCGGCCCCAGTTCCGCGGACAGCCAATGGGAAGCCACATCGGGGCGGGCTCCAGCCAATCGGGAGCTCCACTTCGCCGCAGAGGTTCCCTTGGGAGTGCCGGCGCATGCGCGGAGCCCCGCAGCCCCATGGGAAATGTAGTTTTTCTTTCCCAGGGATTTCAAGGCTGGTGGTGGGATTCAGTAGCACGGAGCCAAGCATTGTCGCCTCTTGCATAGAGTGAAAGGGTTTAAATCACCAATATATATATTATATTATTTGGGACTGTAATATAAAGTAAAGGAAGGGGATTACAATAGTAACATACCATGGGAAGATCATTAGCTCCTACTAACGATGCTTCCTGCTCCAGATATTGGGATTTTGGTGGATGGTTTGTACGTGCAATTGATGGGGACATCTAGGATTTTTTTCCTGTTCTGGTGTTAATGTTTTTTTATGCTGTTGTTTCTCATTGCCATATAGAGCAGACTCTCAGGCCACTTCCTCACAGCTGAATAAGATCCCATATTTATTTGTTTGTTTGTTTATTTACTATATTTGTATACCGCCTTTCTCAGCCTGTGGGCATGCTGGTCGCTTCTGTGGCGAGAGAATCAGCCGTCTACAAAGACGTTGCCCAGGGGNTGGCTCTGAATGAGACATGCCACATTATCACGGGGTGTCTGCACCCTACACCACTGGAGAAATTACACTGCTAAGCCGGTATTGCCCCACCTGACATCCGCCGGGAAGTAGCAGCCAACAGTGAAAGGACCAAAGCAGAGACATTTCCATCTCATCCCCTGTTTGGGTATCAGCCAGCACGTCAACGACTTAAATCTAGAAATAGTTTTCTAAGATCTACAGAGACACTCACTAGAACACCTCAGCAAGCAGGAGTCCAAAAGTGGCAGGCTCAAACCCAGAACCTCAACCAATGGCTGATACCAAATGAGAGACTCCCCCCTGGGCACACAGATGACTGGGCGACTTGGAAGGCACTGAACAGACTGCGCTCTGGCACCACGAGATGCAGAGCCAACCTTCAGAAATGGGGCCACAAAGCGGAATCGTCGACATGCGAGTGCGGAGAAGAGCAAACCGCTGACCACCTGCTGCAATGCAACCTGAGCCCTGCCACATGCACAATGGAGGACCTTCTTGCAGCAACACCAGAGGCACTCCAAGTGGCCAGATACTGGTCAAAGGACATTTAATCAAATACCAAACTCACAAATTTTGTATTCTGTATTTTGTATTTTGTCTGTTTGTTTGCTTTGTTCTGTTAGAAATGTAATATAATTGACTAAACATCAGGAAGGAAGAGGCAGATCTAATCTCCATCAGGAGGGAGTTCCAAAGCCAAGGGGCCACCACCGAAAAGGCCCTGTCCCTCGTCACCACCAAACGCGAAGGTGGTGGGACCGAGAGCAGGGCCCCTCCAGAAGATCTTAACAACCTTGATGGTTCATAGGGGAGAATCCGTTCGGACAGGTAAATACTGGGCCAGAGCCGTTTTGCCATATTACCTTTGAGCCTGCAATATAAACAAATATTTTGTTGTTGTTGTTCTTGTAGCTTCTTAATATAGATCTGTGTCTTTGTGATTTCCTAATTTAAGACACATGAACACAGAGGAGGGACTGCTAAACAAGCATCAGATATATCAGGTATGGGCCAACTTGATCCCTTCAGGTGTTTTGGACTCCAACTCTCACAATTCCTAACAGCCTCAGGCCCCTTCCTTTTCCTTTTCCACTTAAGCAGCTGAGGGGGGAAAGGAAGGGGCCTGAGGCTGTTAGGAATTGTGGGAATTGGAGTCCAAAACACTTGGAGGGAGGGCCCAAGTTTGCCCATGCCTGATATATATTCTTTCATGTCTGCAAATACTTTTCAGCTGCCTTCCTTCAAACAAGGGATCAGGAATGTAGTCTTAGCTCCAGATATCAAGACTGGATGTTGCAATGCCTCCGAATCTGGTTTTTGTTGCAGGGTTAAAGGCTAGGTTATCTCACTTTTTTATCTTTAAATAAACCCTTTTCATCTTTAGCTAAAAGATGCATGACCTGGGATGTTTATTTGGACAGGGCTGCAATTTCCAGTTATCGATTTGCTGGAGGATACCTCTATCTTATCTCAAGCACCCTTATGTGCTTCATCTCCAAACCGATGCAGACTCTGAAGATGTAGCACAAGCACCTGGTTGTCACGGTTTTTAAAAATTATCATCTTTATTGAAAATTTTCCTTAAAATCAATTAAAATCAGTTAGAATATTTTGACTCCCAGGTATCTTCTTCGAGGTTTTCCTGCTTTCTCTCGCTTTCTTCTTTTTTTCTCCCACCCTCTTTTTCTCTTTCAGTCCTGGCAAATATACTTTTCCTTCTCCTATCAATATTTTCATTTTATTTCTTTTTAAGTATTCTGTGACTTGGTTCCAATTAGTTTCTTTCCTAGAATTTTCTTTGTTTTTGGAGGAATGTGAATCTATCCATATTTCTTTATTCTTGATTTTTTTTTTTAATCATCCAATCTTTCTCTTTCGGTATCTCTTTCCTTTTCCATAATCTTGCATAGCGTATCCTTGCTATGGTGGTTAGTAGAAATAATAGTTTGTCCTTATTTTGGTCTATTTTTTGTTTACGTATCCCCAGTAAGAAGGTTTATGGATCTAATGGTCGCTAATATTTCCTGAATATTTTTTGTATCTTTTTCCAATATTGTTTTGCCTTGCTGCATATACACCGCATGTGGAAGTATGATCCTTCTATTTCTCCACACTTCCCGCATTTCGTGTTTATGTTTTCATAACATTTCCCAAGTTTCTGTTGTGTTAAGTGCCACCTGTGTGCCACCTTTATCCAATTTTCTTTCAATTGTCAGGTTTTAATTGGTGAAACTCGAGGATGTGGACAAGATCCTTGGAGAGGCAAGGGCAACCACTTGCATCTTTTATATATCTATATTTTTATTGAGTTTTAAAGGTTACAGCGAAAGTGGGGGGAATAATTCAAGAGGATAGAAAAGTAGGAAAATTAAAAAGATAGTTTCAATAATCCCCGTGTGAAAAGGTAAGAAAAAGAGAAAAAAAAACAAAAAAAAACCCTAGAATAAAAAAGCAATCAAAAAGTCCAAAAATCCAAAAAAAATCATACACCAAACAAAAAATAAAAGATGAAAAAGTAAAATAGAAAAAATAAAAATAAAAAATTGGACTTTCTTTCTGATTCTATTTTACCTTTAGTCCATGACTTAAATTTAATCCGATTTACATCACCATTGTATCCTCAGTACTATTATAAGTCCTTATAATTAGTTTCATTATTGTTGTTGTTGTTCATTCGTTCAGTCGTCTCCGGCTCTTCGTGACCTCATGGACCAGCCCACGCCAGA